AACTGGAAAATATAGAGTCTTGCTAAGGGTTTAAGTCCCTTTTTATTCAACTTAAGAAATTACAATTGCGTGCTCTTGACGCTCACAAACTACGCCGTCCCGGCGGTAAAATAAAAATAAGAACCTGAAAAGAAATAATAACAAGACTCTAACTACGAGGCTCTCTAAAAGTAACTAACCTCACCGCGTTTTACAATACCGCTGCTAATTCAGCAAACTTTGAATATCACGTTGAACGATTAACAATTCTCCGAGGCAAGCACACAGGCCGAAACGCGGGGTTCTTCAATTGCTGGCTAACTCCGCGCTCGTGAAGTACGAACAGCACATCTCGAACTCGTTTCCTTTCTATTTAACTCAGAATACTTCCGCTGATAATTTGAATCCTTGCGCGTTCTACTAAAATTTACATACTCTGGCATTGGCAGTTCCAGGGGAAAGTAAGGCTTGACAGGAAAGATAGTTTAAACTTAAAATAAATGTTAGTTAAAATAAATATAAACCCTACAAGATGAATATCGAAGTCATTTGGCAATAAACACTTTTTATAAGCTATAAAAGTTAAGATACAAAATAATAATGCGTAAAAAAACTGCATGATAACTCCAATTGACAAAGTCAAATAAACGAAATTATAAGTGCCTTAAAAATATCTTATCACTTTATCTTATTTTTAACCATAAATGAAGAGAAATTAATGCCTAGAATTAGAAAGTAAAAAAAATTAATCTGACTACAAACAACTTTGATACCAAACAGTCTCTATATAACAACCAATAAATGAAAGAAAGTTTATTTAGTTAACAAACGGTTAATTTTTGTGAAGAAATAACTAGCGTTTACATTTATATCACTTTTAAAAACACTTTTCTGCAAAATAAACCGCTAATTCATGAAAACTGCGGCAGGCATTATTTACACAATAAGTGTTAAGTGCTATTTCTTGACATTGCTGAAGAAGCAAATCTTGTTAATGGTCTCCTGCTATATGAAATTATACAATATATTTCTTAAATATCAGTATAGCGCTACGAATTGTATTGAATACAGATTGTTTAGCCAAACGATATTTACGCATTGTAAAGTTTTTGAAGTCCTCATCGTAAGAACGTTAAAATCGCTGAATTATGGTTTGAACTCATCTCGACTCCAAGCGAACGGGCTGGCTGCACGGGCGTTTCTGTGGTTACCCCTATGTGTTACGAGCCAGTTTCCCTTAAAAAGCCCTCCATGAAGGCATCCTTCCTAGTGTGCTTTGCCATAATCAAATGAACTAAACCAAACCAAACCTACTAAATTAATGGAGCTATGCAATCCTCGAGCAGACCGAATACTTTCGGGGAATGATGTTATCTGTGAACAGCATTTTCCAGAAACTGATATACGAGTAAAGCGTTATTAATAGACCAAGTTGTCCTTTTAAAATAACAAAGGTATGAGAATTTTTAACAAAAAAGTATGATCAAATCAAAATTGCTGTTTAATTCATAATCATTATGACAGAAAAGAAATTTCTAGACTGTTTTCTACGTAACATTTATAAAAATTATGTTATAATTTATAACAAACAAACTCTGTTACGATATAAGCATTTTACAAAATAAGAGAGGGAAGAAAAGTAATTAAATTTAACATTTATACCCTAAATATTATTAATAGTAATATGATTCTTTTGTTAGGTGGGAAAATTGGAAAATGACTTCTTCAGATTAAGCATTCATAAAAAGCACTACAATCCTTGAACCACGAAAGGCATACATTACATTTTATAATTTGAAGAGTAAAATATAATCATTAGAGAAGAGAATCTAAGAATTTTAGTTAATAGAATAACAAACATAAAATTTTTAAAAAATAATTATAAACATAATCCAACGCATAAAAACGTAAACATTTCCCCCTTTCCTCGCAAAGCGTATAAATGTTTACTTTTGGAATCGCTAAAAGGCCATGAGGGACTATTGTAGAAGTTTTCAATTCTGTGGACGCTTATCACGTGACCAAAGAATTGCATTTATGATTGTGAGGCCACCCTTTAATGGACTTTACTAAATCCTCTGCTCTAGATACACCTTGACTTATCAGATATCTTTGCTACTCACGTGATAACTGGTCATACACACCCTGCATCTTCAGTACTGCCTTCTGGACCATACTAGTCATGCATACCTCTACCTCAAGCGCCAGTCTAGGCATCAAACTAATGACAGCCGGAGCATGTTGTGCGAAATTGAATAATAATCGTGGCTTATAAGGTTAGAATAGGTCTATTCTAGACCTATTCTAACCTATAGAATTAAGGAGGTTAGAATAGGTCTATTCTAACCTCCTTGCTTATAACGACACTTGAAACGCTGAAAGGAACTGCAGCGCTTCAAGTGATCTCCTGACATTTTTGGATCTGTTTGCCTACTATGATTTTTTTATCTCCTAGCGCGAGATATAGAGGTTGTCTCACACAGGACTTAGAAGAGAAGGACTAGCTCATAGAGCTTTTTCCCCTGAAGCAGAAAGTGAGAAGTGATGACGTAGCCATGATGACACTGAGCGCGCCAATATAATTCACAGTTTGGAAATTAGCGTTTTTGAACCAGCGTTTAAATGAGCTGTGTGTGAAAGAGAGCTATACTTTGGAAGAGGCAATGTTACTGCTTTATGCATTTTCGACTGAACCATTAAAAATTTAACAATACTTACTCAATTTTAAAATAATAGATAAAATGTGCTACTCTTTTAACATAAAGTTCCGTGGTTTTTTTATTTTTATTTGCAGGATTTTTTATTTAATGCACGTTTATTTCTAATCATTTCTTTATTTGCATGCTAACTGAGAGAATTTTTATACTGCTTCTAAGATAACTATAATAGCAGCTATTTAAATTTACTCAAAAAACAACTTTACATTGACATAGGTTTAAACATATATGACATGTATGGCAACATTTCTGCTAACCTACGTTTGATTTTTTGCCTAATTGTAAATTTTACATTTATAATTCTCTTCCGATTCAATATAATAGATATTTTTAAAATAATTTTGTAATTTATACTTATGTCTATATTACAATTAAATAAATGTATATAAGATTGTTACCTTAATTTTGACAAAATAGCTTCATTCAGAGTACCTAAAACAGTTATTTAATATTTCAAAAGTGTGAGTAAAGGAAGCAGGTCTTTTTATGCCAATTACTTTGATGTTTTATACTATTATATTTTATCTAGAATGCTAATCTAGCACAAAATCTAATCAATAATTAGTTACAAAGGATACAATAAGAATAACTTTAACAAGTACTTAACAAAATTAGTTTGTTAAATACTTCTAACCTTGTTATTCTTGTTGGTACTATTCATAATACCGAAGATATTATCGATTAACTCATAGAAATCAGATGCTTTCTGATTTCCTGTGGGGTAGAGTATACCTTTTGCGGTACTTTTTGAAAATAATGTTTTCTCTGGAGCGACGTTTGTCTCTCGTTTCCCTTGACCATTAAATAATTTGGTTTTAGTTTGTGACACAATTTGATTTCTTCTCAATCTCTATTTAAAACCTCTTTAATAATATCAAAATTTAAAACAGTTACATCTTCTAAAACAAACCCTCTATCTAAAACGCGGTTTCTCAGTAATTTGAGGCAGAGCGCGAAATGAGACCTCTGATTAAAACGAACTGCACATTTTGAAAAGAACCAACTTAGTCCAGTTTAGAGTCATAGCAGAGTTTTCAATCTATATGCATTTCGTCGAAATTGAGAACGCATATTTTTTCTACAGAATACAAATATTCACCTCTTTCCTTCTTTAGAGTAAGAACATTACTTTGAATTCTTGGACTACACTAAAATTTAGAAAACACTAAAAAATAAAATAAACACCATTTCTTTAATTTGATAATACTAGGTAAAGATATTCCAATTTTTTTCTTTCCAAAAATCATAGCTTTAAGATAACAGAGCTCTTATGACAATGCAACGTGAAATATTTTCACTAGTCCACCTGATTTCTTTCTTCTTTTTCAGTAATGCATTAATCTGCGTCTTTATAAAAATAGGCTTTAGACATTTTTCCAAATTTTCCGATTTGTGCTCCCCCCCAAATTTCTCTATTTGAGATTTTAATTTCTGATACCAATTTCTGTATAGATGTCGTCCACCTTCTTTGTCGCTGAACAAACATTCTAAAATTTTTCTTTTCTCTATTTTTCAATACTTTAATACAATTTAATACAATTTTCTAAGGATATTATTTTGTTCTTCAAATTATCAATGCATTCTTGTTTATCCTTAAACATTCGGGATGATCTACATTTTCATTTGTGAGTTTTATTTCAAAATCATTAAAATTTGATTTATTATTGTCATAATCAATTTCGATTTATTATTGTCATCATAATTTACTTTCGGCACAGCATTCCCTTTCAACAGTTTCTTTTTGTGGCTATCCAAACAAGCGACTTTTCATATCATCTTCATAAACACTGCATAGAAAATGTTCGCTGCAGATTTTTCCGCTCTTCACATTAATAGAATCTTTTCTTTGACATTTGTGTATCCATTCTTTCTCAAAAGCAAACTCTCATTTGGATCCTTTGGTCCCATGAAATAAAATATCTCATCCTTTCATACTTCTGTAAGTGCTACGGCACGTTACTGCAGCGCAAAAAGCCATATTACGTAAACGATACTTTACAATATAGAATTTAAAATAAAAACTGACTAAAATTACATATATATAAATTATTTTAAATATATACATTATTAGAAAACAGATATATATACATTATTAAAATTAATTTGGGATATGTAAACTCTAGAAAATCGTCTCGCAGCTCAATGAAACTACTGTTTTAAACGCGGGAAATCAGGACAGGTGGCATCACAGTGACGTCAGATTATTGCCTGTTACGTTCCTCCATTAGGCTCGCGTCGGCGAGGAGTCGAATAAAGAAATGAGCTAGCCCTTCTATTTATCCCTGGTCTCACACACACACAGATCGTATTTTATTCTCGAGTGTCAAAGACAAGGAGGTTAGAATAGGATGTCAGAAGATGTTGGTTAAAGATGTTGAAACACTTTTTACTCGACTTCGCATAAGCATCTGGAAGAAGGAGGAAGAGGAGTAGTATGGTAGGAGGGGGTGGGCGACAAACTTTGTGGTAACTTTAGGGAGCATTTAGTTGGGAAAAGGGAAATTTAGGTTCTACACAGGGAATTTTAGTTCTTGTTATTCAAGTGATTTTGCCGCACACGTACGCAACGTTAAAGCAGACTGTTCTGTAACACCTGCTGCGATCCGGGGAAGGAAACTTTTCGCAATCTGACTAAATTCAGTTTCGTTGTTTTATTGAAATAGGAAGCATACAAAAATTGAACGTCCTGGAGAGAAAGGGAGGAGTTACATTTAATAAAAAGAAATAATATTTCAGGAAGAAAAGACCCCTCTTTATTTGAAGTAAGTTATTCATGGAAATTTATAATATGTGTGTAATATTAAATTATATTCCAAGTTAAGGATTCATATTTTTTCCATACTTTATAATGCCTTTTTAATAGTAATTGGTTCAGTTGTTTGTTAAATTTTGGGAAGATCTGGATTGTAGATTATTTTGCTGCAGGTTATCTAGTATTATGAGACGTTGCCAATTGATTGTATGTCATTAAGAATTATGAAATGGATGTAGAAAATATCCTTTATTATTATCCGGTTATGAATCCGAGTTTATGAGCTTCGTGTTTGTAGGCGTTTGAGTATTGAAACTTATCGATAGTTTTAGACAAAGCATAACGTTTGTAATATGTTTAGATATAAGCATAGTTGCGAGGTATCGTTTTTTGTAATATCATGAGTATATTCCATTGATATTTATAAGAATGTTCCAATAGCTTTGCAAGGCAAACTTAGTTAAAATTTTTTTTACTGAACCTCCTACCCCCTAGCAACATATTCTGAAATAAAATAAAATTTTAGAAATGAAAACATTTTTCTGGAAACTAGGTGGAGTTATGAAACTTAGAATGCATCAAAATGAATAAACTTAAAAAAATGCTACCTAATACTTTTTATGCTAAACCTTTTGAAATGTGTGTGGAATTCTTTTATTTGTAAAATGTGTAAAGGTATATGTGCAATGTAAGTCAGGAAATTTCTGAATTATTTTAAAAATATTTCTTCTACCAGTCATTATTTCAATTTCTGTGAGCTTTTAGGTATATCTCTATATGTTTAGTGCTAATTTTCATTCTTGTTGAATCTCAATCAGGACACAATTTTTTAAAGTAAATCCCTTATAAGATTGTCAGGAGTCGTGTACAAAAATAAAATAATTTATGATGTTTAATTAAAGGTAAGTATTATCAAAATCAAATGAAATTATAAAAGAAATTTGAGCATGGAATAAAAGTAAGTACTTTTTTGAACAGTAGTCTTCACAGTTAGAGAAAATTACATCATTATTTAGCTTTTAATCCATTTAAAGCTTTTTCTCCAAATGAGTACAGCCTGAGCTTTGAGCAGATGAATACAGCTAATAAAATGTTGTCTTCCTGAAGGGCTAATATTTTGACAAGAGGGGATCATTCTCAGGTGCTCTAATTTTCCTGCATATTTTCTCTTTCTAAAGCGAGGTTTACATTTAGTATGTAGTATCAATATGAATTTTATTAGATACTAGCTGTAATAATTGGAATATCTGTTAATATTAGGATTTGGCTATACAATAAAATCCACGTGTTCTTATTAGGGCCATTAGGTTCTTATTAGGGATGTAGTTTTATTTGGGCTCTTGCACACACTTTGATTGGAGTTAAGATTTCAGTCAAAAACTGGGAAAAATGGGAATGCGTTTCAGCTGTATAGGAGTTTGTGCCAGTCCTGATCTTAGTTTTTTGTAGCTTCATTTTATGTTTGGTAACTGATACTGAAAATTTTCAGTATTTGTTACAGATAAATTTTAAGTAATATATTTTAGTGAAAACTGGTAAATTGTTGGAAACTAACCAAAGGAGTAAATAATTTAAGGAATAATTATAAGCTAAAAATAAAATAATTATTGGTCTTTTAAGGAAGCAGCTGTTGTTGTAGATGCAGATCTATATATACAGTAAAGAGCCAAAACACTATTACATCTACTCAAAAAAACGTGTTGCGCGACTTTTAGCCTGGAAAACAGCTGTAACTTTCCTTGGCATGGATGTCACAAGATCCTGGTTGATGATTGGAATCAGGTTATACCAAATGTCTAAACAGCAGTCGCACACAAACAAGATATTTTGACATTATGGTTGTGGAGCTCTGAGCTGCTGCTCCTTGATATTCCAAATGTGCTCTATAGGTGAAGATCTTGGTGAGTTAGAGGTACTGCTACCACTCATCTGTGTATGACCTGCTGTACAGGAAGGGAGTAGAGTAACTGTTTGTCTATAAGATGGTTTACCCTGACAAAACCATTGACTTGAGGAATGCGAAATCGTGATTCTATCGAGCAGGTAACTGTCTTCCACTTGTCCATGGTCCAGTTTCGATGTTCCCGGGCCCACTATAGGCATAGTTGACAATGTTGCTCGGTCAATAGAGGTACATGAGTGGAACATCTGCTGAGCAGTCTCATATCCAACAGTGTCCGCTGAACTTTTTATTCAGAAATGCACTTGGACCTGCATTGTACAGTACAGATTCCAAAATCCAGACGTCCATTTTCCGGAATGATCTAAAATCTGGACCTCGAAGCCACAAAAATTTTTTTTTTTTTTTGTATGCTTTACGATTCTTAATTTAACTTAAATTTCGATTTTTAATTTCACTTAGGCATTAAAATAACTCGTTATGGGAAAGCAAACATGTAAGCATAAATTTGTGAGATTAATAATTTCACTCTGTAGCTGAATGTCTGCTTGGTATATACCTCAGACTGAAACATACACCTATTTTATATCCCCCATGCCAACCTGGCGAGCCATTATTTATTACATTTTGCTTTCATCACCGCATGTTTATCAATACATGACAGCTTCAGTAATAACTCATGCAGTGATGTCTAAACTTTTTTTTATATTAGTAATTGAATAACAAGAGTGGCAACCTTTTACGCTTGCCGATGATTGTAGATTTTTAAATACTCTTAAGAAATGTTGACGAGGAAAAGTTCAACAAAAATTTCTTTTCATATGTTAAAAATAGATTTTGGTTAATGAAACTCATAGGCCAAAAGATTATATTTAGTGCTATTTTAATTAAGCTTAATACAGTACAAAGTCCGTAATCCGGACTTGTTGGGACTTGGGTGACTCCGGATTAAGGGTTTTTCCGGATTCTAGATCATCAATTTAAATCTGGTAAGATGGCATGCAGAAATTATACAATTAGAAACATGAAACTGTAATTTATGAAATAAAGAACAATTATAATCTAAAGGGTATCAAAATTTATAAAAAAAAAAGCTTAATATTTATTTGTTTACTTTATTAAACATTTCTTTCAATGCAAGTTTTTTAAGTTGCTTCGTTTTTTGTGCTAAATGCGCATGCGCAAACATTAAACACACATTCGTAAAGCATACAAAAAAAAAAAAGGTTTGTGGCTTTGAGGTTCAGATTATAGATTATTCTGGATAATGGACGTCCGGATTACAGACTTTGTAGTGTATTTATTTGTTTACTTTATTAGACATTTCTTTCAATGTAAAATGTTTAAGTTGCTTCGTTTTTTGTGCTAATACTTTCTCTTTAATTCTATAAACAGACATAATTTCTTGTTCAGTTACAAAGTTCCACTGTTCAAGTCATGTAATTGCTGTGTCGAGAATACCGACTAATTTGTCAATCGAAATTTTTTCGTTTTCAATAACCTCTCTGTCACTTTCTTCACTATTGGAAGTGGTATTTTCTGAATTTAGAATCGTACTGCAGATTTCTCCATCCGTTAATTGATTGAGGATTGGAACATTGTCGTTGCAATGAAAAACTTCTGTCATTGCAATGAAAACTTCTTCATTTATTACTGCTTTCCACATTTCTTTACAAAATCCAATAACTGGAAAATTTCACTTTTAGTTTGCGATATCCGAAAACTTTCAAATTCGCTGCTATCATCTTCATCATCCTCGCCATGAAATATGGTAGCTGGGCATAAATTATACCAAGCATTTTTTAACGTATCTGGAAACACATCCTCCCAACGCGCATGTGCAAAGTATACAATTAAAAAAAGTTTGTGGCTTTGAGGTCCGGATTATAAATTATTCCGGATTACGGACTTTGTACTGTATTAACTTCCGATCTAGTAACGGGTGATGCCATTTTTGCTTAGTTTCTCTTTTTGCTTTTAAATTATCTTGCCATTTTGTTCTTGATTCTCCATTACTTCTTAGATTACTGAATTCCTGGAAACTGTTTACTTTAACCGTATCACTTCAACCATTAATTTAGTGCAGATAACAAATGTAAGGTTTTGCACCAAAAATTGCAGTGCAAACAAACAAAATCTTGTGTATGTTGTATATGTTGTTAGTCTATCACAGAATCTTTGTAAAACTTACATGAATTACCTATCACTCTTCTCTTTTTTAAAATATTTAAAATATATTTTTTTTTCTTTTCTGTTTTGTTTGCTAGTTTTTCTTTTCCCTTTTGTTGTTTTTAAATGTACAGGCTATTGTTAAAGTTTAGCTTATTTCATTTAAAGTCATAAAATAAAGATTAGTTTTATTTTACTAGTCCCGGCATTTATTTAAAGCAAAATATGCTTTTGCGACTTCACTAACGCCAACAGGTTATGGGTCCAGCTCAGCTTTGAAGGAATGCAAGCGAAGAGGGCCGTTATCTGCAAAAACAATTTGAAGTGTTTAGAAGTTGGTTCAAGCGGTTGTGCTTACGTGAACCTAAAGATGTCCTAACTAACAGAAGGGTTTGAGTTATTGAACCATGACAACTGGGACCAATGAAAAATCTATATCAAGATGCTGTTGCTAGACAGAAATTGTTGGAACTTGATAGAAGGTAAAGAAGAAGTATTGGATAAAACTGCAGCAAGGCGTGACAAGCAGGATTTCACTTTGAGAGAAAATAGAGCTTTCACTACTTATATTATGGAATAAAACTGAGTTCAAGCCATCAATACAAGAATGTTCAAGTGGCAAAGAAGCATGGGAGGTTCTACAGAAGCAGTTGGAATCAAAAACAAGAGCCAGAATAATCCAGCTTCTAGAGGAATTTTTCAACATCAGATATGCACCTGATGAAGAAATTGGGCTATTCACCGCAAGGATAAAAATGACTGCAAAGAAACTGGTTGAAGCTGAACACAGCAGATCGTTTTAAAGGGTTTCAAGCAATTTGGAGGTTACCCCAGAAATACTCTGGAATTGTGCAATTGATTTATAGGTGGAAGGATGAGGATTTTACGCTGGAAAAAATTGCTGAACTGGTAAGGGAAGAAAGTCGGCTTAGCCAGGTACA